CTTATCCCACGGTGGTCTTTTTCACCCACAGGGTAGACTTGAGAACGGTCTACCATCGCCCCTTTTTCTTCAATGAAGAACTCAGGTGGCAATTTTTGCACATTGGCTATGACCGGTCCATGCGCAAGTACTTTGCTGGAGTACTCGAGCTATCTAATCTCTTGCCAAAGTAGTCACGTTGGGGAAAGACAGGTATCATGAGCAAGCTCAATCTACCCCGACATAATGTCGCCCAACCACACTACTATGGCTCTGTTGATTCGGCAACAGCACCTAGAGACGTAACCGGTGGACCGAAGCACGATCCATCAATAAGCCGTAGACATTGTTCTTACTCACAGTGACACGCTGTGGTAATTCTGATATGAACAGAGTATACTCTGAACATATCTGGACAAGGAAGGAAAATTAATCGGTATCACTTGCATATGATACCTTTCATCCATCATCATTCAACCCAGCACACATCTCATTTATTCGACACACTCATAAGAGAAAAACATACGACACACTCATTTAGATATACGGGTGGATGAGGCCCGCATACCTCTACATTCATTCCGTATCATATACAATTGACTCCAACCCATTTCCAACGCTTAGTCCCACAGTCACTCCTCTGTGGGGTATCTGTTGTTTTCGGCAACAGCACCGAACTTATCCCGAAATATTGACTATTATCATGCATCAGTCTTTTAACCGCAACTTACTCTTCCCGCGAATTTGGGTTTAAACCACAGCCACTACGTGGATCCCGAAGGAACCTCAACCAACTGACCAGCCAGGACATAGTCCTGCGGGCAACTGGCCACCCGTAGTACCAGATTATGCGGTTCTCTGGTCTGACCTCTAGCAATCTATGCAAGGACTTAGCCAGGCAGTAGACTGTAACCAATTTTTCAGCCCCGGTCGGACTGGAGGTATTGGCCACCTCTTTATACCCCGGGATTGCAATAACACCAAGGCGGAGGTCTCGCCAAGGTAACATGCCCCCGGGGGGAACCCACATCAACAATCGCACCAACACCCACATCAACAATCGCACCAACATCCACACCAACAACATCCATACCAACAACAACAACCAAAACCACAACCAGCCACCGGCTCCCAATCAAAGGATTCTGTCCGAGGCGATCCGGTCCTTAGCCGTGGTACTATGCGCCTCCTCCGAACCATAATTTGCACAAGTGCAACGAGGGGCGCCATGCATAAATTAAATTTTTGTATTTTAAATGAATTATATATATGAAATGAATTATACTAATGAATTGTATTTAGTATTATAAGTAGCTATAAATTTTCTCTCCTTTCTTTCGTTAAATGAAAATCGCGTGTTTTTAAATGAATTGTAAACACTATTCTTAACATTGTATAAAAAACTTATTTTAAACTTAACGAAAAGAATTAAACCGTTATAACGTTGTTCAAAAAAGCCTTCAAGGCATAAAAATATAAAATTAATGGGCTTGTTCAAACCAACAGTCAAAGGGTAAGCATCTCTTGCTAAACCAAATAAATTGTTTAAAATAAAAAACAAATTCCTTTGGTTTTTTTTTCTTTCTTTCTTTTTTCAAGCAACAAATTCTCATCAACTTATAATTTCTCTTTCCTTGAGAAATTATAAGTTGCAAAATATTTATTTCAAATAAATATTTCATTAACAAATTCCCCATTTGTACAGACACAATATATTACCATCATACAAGGCGATCCAGGAAAAAAACCAAACTATCCTACCATCACCTATTGCTGTTAATGATGTGGAAGCTTGTATTGATATATCATCTTTGCTCGAAAACACAGCATCAAGAATTGTGTCAGACTTTTCAGAAGACCAACTAAGGAAAATTCATAACTGTGATGTTGTCTTAATGTGTAAGTGGGGATGTGATGGTTTATCAGCACTTCCAGAATACAAACAAGCTTGTGGAAATCGGACATTAGCAGACTACAAAAGTGTATTTATGTCATCATTAGTGCCATTACGAATTCGTTCATATTCCCTTAATCCATCATCGTCAAGCATCGGAAATTCATTTGAAGATATATGGATCAATACAACTCTGGGTTCAAAAAATTTTTGTAGACCCATTGGATTTGAATATATAAAGGAGTCAAAGAAAACAACAAAAGATTTAGTGGAATATTAAAAAAATGAAATAAATGCACTGGAGCCCATTTGCATAAAAATAAAGGAATTCTCTATTAACGTATCATATCAGCTAAGCTTAACAATGATTGATGGAAAGGTCAGCAATGCCATAACAGAAACTTCTTCCTTCTGGAGATGCTCAATATGCAATTCTCAAATATAAACAAAAGCTGAAGTATTAATGAAGAAGTCACTTTCTAAAGGGGCTTTGTGTGGGGCTAGGGTCAAATGAAGTCCGATCATTTCGAAATTCGGCAGGGTCATCAAGGCTTGTATAAAACATAGTTGTGCGAACTTTCATCGAGATACATTTATATTATACATAATTATGAGCTCAAAAGCCCTTTTCGGGGGTTCAGTTGTATGGGGGATAGGTGAAATAATGGAATGATTTTAACCATTTTCAATAGGCTTAGTCCCTGGGTCAAAACAAATATATGTTCCAAATTTCATCGAATTATCTTGAAAATTGCGACCTGTACTTTGATAACAACGTTTACGTGGACACACGGACGGTCGGACGGACGGACGGACATCGTTAAAGTGATTCTGAGTCGATCGGTATACTTTAAGGTGGGTATAGCACTAATATTTTAATGCGTTACAAACATCAGCACAAACGCATAATACCCTTCCCACTCTAGTAGTGTAGGGTATAATAATGAAGAATTTAAAGAACTGAGAGCTGCGGAAAAAAGCAGAATCCAAGAAGAATTTAAAGTTCAGATGGGATTGAACATCGACAAACCACTTCCAAGTTGCAGTAGTACAAATGACGGTAATACGGCGAGAAGGTTTTTTCGTGATTTTGAAATTACTTCAAAAATAACTGGAATCGACAAGGAGTTGCTTCGAAGAGTTAACACTATTTTAATGGCACTGAATAGTAAACATAAAATTAATGGAAATCGATTTGGGGAATATACATCTGAAATTTCTAAATTACTTGTATCTCTGTATCCATGGAGGGAACTAACACCAACAGTACACAAAGTATTGTGTCATGGTCAAATAATAATTGAATCGAATATTCTTCCACTTGGAGAGTTAACAGAAGAAGCCCAGGAAGCGAGGAATCGAGATTTTAAGCATGTTCAACTATTCAGTTCAAGAAAATTCTCCAGGCAATCACAGAATAAAGATATTTTTAATAGTTTACTTCTATCTTCTGATCCTGTTCTTTCAACTATGCGAAAAAGATGGATTTGTTATGAAACTCTATCATCTCAAAACAAGGAAGATTTAAAGGACTTATATTAGCTTCTGGATATGTATACCGATATGACAGATTATTTTATAGAAAATAAGTAGTGTTAGGAATTAACTATGTTTAAGATAAACAGTTCAAATAAAAAAACTATTATACTAACTGATGATATTGTATTAAATTGTGTTTTATATTTCGGTGGGCGGGAAAGGTGGTTTGTGTGGGGTGATTTAGGTGTTGTTGTGCGTGGCTCATAATAAAATTATAATTTTTTTATTGTATATACAATGTTATAATCTTTAATAAAATAATTAACTAAATAATGTGTCGATTATGTACGGCAACCAACTTCAGTTGAGTTGCCAATTGCCGAAAACATATTGCAGATGGCAACTGACAACTAACAGCTTTCAATTTCAGTTGCCAAATAGCAAATATTTAGGCAACCGTATATTTTTGTTTGCCTTATACATTTTTGAAGTTAAAACGCGCCAAAACTTAAGATGTAAGTACGTTTTTGTTTTCTTTTGGAACTTTTAAAATGTTTTTCTTATTACAGATCACAAAATGGTTAAAATTACCACAAAACACCAATTCGATCTGCTTGTGCAACAAATGGAGTTATATCCAAGGATTGCTCATGGTGTCCGAGGTTTTGGTGATACCAAAGCTACCGTTGACGAGACATGGAAGGAAATTTCCGAAAAATTAAATAGTTGTGGGCCACCAATGCGAACGCCTGAAGAATGGCAGAGGGTGTGGATACATTTCAAGGCAAAATTAAAAAAGAAAATGGCTAACAATCATCGGAATATTTATACAACTGGAGGTGGGCCATCGGAAGAAATCAGTTTGTCTCCAATAGAACAGGCAGCAGCGAAGCTAGTGCGCACAGACGTTTCCGTAAACCCTCAGGGAAACACTTGTGGCGTACTCCAATCGGAAGTGGTAGACGAGCTGCCTACTTCTGTACAGCAAGAGTTTGACGACCTAACAGAAAGTAGAGAGGAAAAGCGGCCACAAGCGGAGTGTAAGCAACAGCCTCCAAAGAAAAGAGCAAGAATAGAAGATAAAAGATTCAACCTCCTGCAAAAGCAAACAGATACTCAAACAGAAATTTTAGGTTCTTTGAAAAAAATTGAAAAAAACTTATACAAAAAAATGAAATTTTAAAGGAAATCAGAGATTTGAAAAAGAGGAAGTACGAAGTCCTAAAAGAAATTAAAGAAATAAAAAAAAAGAAATTCGATTCATTCTTAGAGGAGCAAAAAATGGAAAGAAAAATTAAGCAAAAGAAACTAGAAGTCTTAGAAAAAAAGCTATATAATCTAAATAACTAATTTTTATACCTAATATTAACAGTAGTACAAAGAAATGGAACCTCATGTAGTAGTTTTAAGATTTTATGGACCTGAATTTTATTAGTTTGGTAGCATTAACCAATCCACGAATGTGATTTTTTTATTTAAATTTTTTCTGTTATTTTTATATAAACCTTGTTATCTCATGAACTGAGGACTGAATTAATTTGTTATTTTACTTTATTTCTTTTTCTATAATATTTAAAAAAAATATATATTAAATGAATTGTTATAAACAAATAAGAAAAGCATTTTAAATTATAAGTATGTTAGTTTTTTAATTTAAAGATCGCATAATTCTATTTCTTATGTCTGTTGCTAAAATATCTTCATTTTCACCAATGTTCACTATTGCCTCTTCCATAAGTACTTCCGTTGGTTCCTCTTCCCAATCAGCTTTGTAATGCTTTCCAATGTTATACAATGCACAACACGCATTTACAATTGAAACTGCTTTATCGGGATTATAGTGCAGACCACGTTCGGCAGAAAGACATCTAAATAATGACTTCAGAACACCGTTCGTTCGCTCAATAATATTCCGGGCCTTTGCATGAATAGTATTATATTTCCCTTCTGGCGAATGTGGTTCTGCTGAACGGTAGGGTGTCAAAAGTTGCTGCTCCAAAGGAAAACCACCATCACCTAAAGAATTAAATAAATTTTAATGCGTTTATAAACCAAAATATAGAATACAACCTAGTAGCCATGTATTCTGTCCAAAATCTGAGACAATCATTTGCTTCAAAGCGCTATTGTTCCATATAAAGGCATCGTGAGTAGAACCGGGGTGCCTGGCGTCTACATACCGTATACGCATTTTATAATCACACATCTATAAAGAAGTTATCACAATTAAAACAAGCACATAAATGGTAAACATGTATTAAATAACTTACCAGTAAGACATTTAAACTAAAATAACCTTTTCTATTTAAGTATAAATGTCGAACATCTTCCTTAGGACCCATGATGTGTACGTGTGTACCATCTATACAGCCTACAACTACGGGAAACTTCGTTTTTGAATAGAAATAGTTTTTGTTTTTGGTTTTTTCCTCTTCCGTCATTTTAGAAACTTTCCAATGCGTACAAATTTTTTCTTCTATTAGTTTTACAGCTTCCTTCAATACCACAGACAACGTAGGCTGAGCCATTCCCAAATTAAAATCGTTGCCGTGAGATTTTTGGAAACTTCCTTCTGCAAAAAATCTAAGAGCAGCACATACTTTTAACAGCGGAGGTATTGCTGTTGTCCGATGAATTTTTATATCGTCCTTATAGAGAGTATCCACTAAATAGATTACAGCATCCTTGGGAAGATGAAAATATGCCTTAAAACTAGAAAATTTGTTTATTAAAGTATTTGTACTTAAAAATCGATGCATTTATATACATATGTATGTATATACTTACAGTACAGGCGGTAATTCCAGTGGATTAGAATTATCCCTCAAATGGCGCCTTACAGATGCCACATTTACTCCTTCTTCATTGTCTTCGAAAAATAAATTCACGGAACTGAACATTTTTTTAAATTCACTTATGTATTTTATTTTGTTTTTATTAATTGTTTACACTTTTTCAATTGCCGATCTGTCAAAATGGCAACTGACAAATGTTGCCGTACATAATATAACTTTTTATTTCAGTTGCATTGTCAGCTGGCAACTCAACTGAAGTTCGGTTGCCGTACATAATCGACACATAATTTTTAAAAATTGTCCAAATATTTTATTCAACACCAAATGTATGTTCTGTCATACTTAATACTAAAATATGAAAAAGATGAAATTAAAGGACACAGGTTTAAATGAACATATTTTTGAATGTAATTGAGATATTGGCTTGAAATTTTTTGTAAAGGGTCGAGAATTTCCATATCTAACTAAATGATATTAAGGGATAAATATGGACTAAATTGTTGTAGCTATCTGCGACCCTATTAAAATTTTGATATAAATCATAGTTTTAGAAATTAAACAAATATGTAATATATGAAAAAATCTTTATTTATGAACAAAACTCAATGAAATTTTCAACGCTTGTTTAATTTGTCATTTAAGGTCAAAGGGCATCCCGCAATTCCCAAAAATAGGAATGAAAATCCCAAAAATGGGATTTTTTACATTTTTGCTCATAGGGTCCACATTTCTTTCAGGGCTAGGAAAATACTTTTGGAGTAAATAGAAAACATATTGAGGTTTCCAAAACTGCTTTCAGTTTTCTGATCCCAGCTTTGGGATTTTAGAACATGTCGCCCAAAGTTGAATTTTTGATAAAAAATAGGTCATATTCGGAAGGACGCAGTGGCAACATTTTCAAAAAATAGGACAAGTTTTTTACGCCAACGCGTTCTGCGTAAAGATAACTTTTAGAAAACTATAAAATTGTTATATGTTCTTAAAGAAAATTTTATTTTATTAATAAAAGAGTTAAGACACATTTTTGGCAAAAAACGGCAAAAATCTAAAATTTTTTGAATTTTTAAATTAAAAAACGTATATTTTTGGATCTGTAAACGATATTGATCTGAAATTTTTTGTATATTATTGGAAATTTTGTTGTCTAACTAACAAGAAAAAATTGAGTCCATTTGGTCCAAAATTACGCCCGGTATTCAAAAAAAGGCGGACCAAGGTATGGTAAATTTTGTATCACTAAATTTTTAAATGCCTATAACTCAGTTATTATAAGCGATAAGTATTTGGATGAAAAACAAAAAAATGGCACGAGTTTAAAAATTTTGCATATCGTAGGTACCCTACTTTGAGCCGCCACAGCGCCGTCCCTGGGGCATCTGCGGGGTTCATCTTCAAAACTTAAACTCAAATACTCCTTGGCTACCCTCACGCCAGATTTATTTCCAAAAAATTTCGATTCCGCCCCACTGTGCAGTTGTAAACATTTTAATATAATGATTTATCTATACACAAACATACTCATGACGAATTTTATCTGGATATAATCATTTAATAATCCCGATGACTTTGATTGGCAAAGTGCGTTTAAGTAATTTTCGGAAATGATCCTTATATGGGAGTTGTGACTCATTATGGACCGATCAAGAAAAAATTTCGTATAATGATTTATATGCAAAAAAAGAAATTCACGTCGAATATTACTCCAATAGATTTATTAATTAATAAAATATGTGCGTTTAAGTGATTTTCGGAAGTGGACTTTATATAGGAGCTATGACCAATTACGGGCCTCTCCAGAAAAATTTCGTAGAGTGATTCACATGTATGTACACAAAACATATTTGTGTCGAATTTTATCAAGATAGCCTTATTTGACAATGAAATATGTGAATTTAAATGATTTTCGGAAGAGGTCCTTATATGGGAGCTATGACCAATTGTGGACCGACTGAGATTTACGTTGGCGGTATGATTTCTATTCATATTATATTTATATGTACAAAATTTTGTGTTGATACCGATATATTTGAGGGAGTTATTAACGATAAATTAATTTCCGGGAATATACACCTTTGTATGGGGGCTATGGGAAATATTGGATTAATTGTTATGAGTTTGAACATACTTGATCTCTGGCACGAAGAAATAATGTGTGCCGAAATTCATCGAAATATCTTTGGTAGTTTCTGAGAAAACTACTTAGGAATTGGGAAAAAAACTTTTTTTCGAGGTAGTCTGAAATTTTTAATCATAACTTTTTACGTCGTCAACCGATTTTACTGATTTTCAACACCAGACTGCACCGGATAATAAAGAATGTTTTGGGTGAATTTCGTGAATTTCTATTGCTTAGTTTTAACGTGTTTTACACAGACAGACATACAGACGGAAAGACAGACGGACATAGCTAAATCGACTCAGAATTTCATAAGGATCAAAAATATATATATTTTGTTGGGTGTCAGATGAATATTTCTGGTGTTACACACGGAATGACAAAGTTATATATACCCTCTATCACCACTGATGGTGGTGGAGGGTATAAAATGGTTGTCTTAATAAAAATAATTATCAACTTTTTTTTCCAATTACTTAACAAATTTTATAATCAAGCCAACAAATTATTTTATCGAAAATAAGTAAAAAGTTTAACAAAATCTTTTATAGGTTTGACAAAAAAGTTTGTTGGGTAGTAAAACATTGACTGAGTAATATTTTTTATCGACTGTAAAAAACCATAACAAGACAAAAAATTACAAACGATTTTGAAGATTCTAACTACAATAGTTTTCCAGATTTATAATATGTTACATATGAGCTAGCGATTTTAATCTCATTTTACGGGAAAAATATGATTTAGCTGTTAGCGGGAAATCTAGCGATTTTTCTTTAGATTTTAAGGCATTTTTAATACATTTATATTTTGATAATATCGCTTAAAAGTTTCTACAAATTACGTTAATCTATATATATAAAAATGAATCTGTGTTTGTTTGTATATTTGAACGTTATAGACTACAAAACGGCTAAACCGATTTTCTTGAAATTTTCACAGCGTATTCCTGTGTGTCTGGAATAGGTAATATGCTACTTTTTATTTTGAAATTTCAAGTGGGCGAAGAGCCACGCCCATATTAAGAAAATATTAAATCCGTATATTTGAGATAATATAACAGTTAGAGTCCTCAAATTTAGTCGGAGCCACTTTAGTGCCAATATGATTATTTTGGACAAAAAGTGGGCGGACTAGCATTAGGGAGCGTGTCACCTCCCATATAAATTAAATACAAAAAATCTTTTATTTTGGAAACATTTAGAATCTTAAAATTTTGCACGAATAACTTTAACATCCATGTTAACATTTTGGGCTATAAATTGGCGGACTACCCATGAGGGGAGCGGCACCTTCCATATTAATTACATACAAAACAAGTTAGAGTGCTATATTCGGCTGAGCCGAATCTTAAATACCCTCCACCAGCTATTTTTATAGTAGTACTTTTTTAATTGATCAAATATTTGCAGACATAAGTTTTCTCATGTCTTAAATAGAAAAACGCCAAGATTTAACCAGCTTAAATCTGTTACAATTACAAGATTTATTGAACACTAGCTCCGTGTACCCGGCGTTGCCCGGGTTTCTTCGAAAATTAAAAAGAATATTTTTCTATCTGTAATGACTATACTTTTTTTAAATAGATGTCAAAATTTAGCTTATAACGATAAAATAGTTATTATATTTTTTCGCATTTTGTTTAATACTTAAAGTCAGTTTCTGGACCAAAAAGTCCTTTAAAAATTTACAAATTGATAATGAGCTTAAATTTCTACTAATTTGTAGACAAATCTAAGAAACTTTTTTCGAGAAATTATACTGAAATCAGCATTTTCAATCACTAGTAGGGAACTAAGGACACTTTCAAAATAGTTGTTTAAATTTTTCCACATGCAGTAGATTTTAAGAACTGTTTAGTTTAAATTTGGTCACACTTTACTTTGAATTGTAGTGCCCCTGGTCTAAAGTGGCAAAAGGCTTCGGGGCATTTTATTAACTACAAAAATACGTACCATTAACCATACAAAATTTCAAGCGATTTTCTTGCTATTTGAAAAATTACATGCAATTGAAGAAACTCTGAAACGATTATGCAAAATTCTGGACAAAATCATGAAAAATTTGGGCTCATTGCAAGATTTCAAAATTTTTAAAAAAGAACAAAATTACTGTCCTAGGAAAATATGAAGAGTCCTTGAATTTTGAGAGAGAAAACAAAACAACTTTTAATTTGACAAACAATTTTGAGTTGTTCATTAAAGAGTAAAACCCCCGTTTTTGTCTCATCATTGTTTCTCAAATACATCCATTTATACAAAAGTATGTTTAAAAATATTATTGTTATTCACTAGCTTTTATGCATCCACACTTAAGTTTTGGCTGGATTTAGACACCACTTATTAAATCCGATGAAATAAATGTTTAAAGGTCAAATATCGTTAGATATACAAAAAACATACCCAAATAATTTTACTTATTAAAATATCCAAATCTTCCTCCAATTAAAAAAATTTCGGAATTTGTTAATGGTAAATGGAAAATGTGTGCTGGAGTTATTCAAAATCATTATTTAATTTGAAAAGCTTGCAATAAATACGGCGCTACATACAGAAAAAGTTGTGCATAATTTTTGGTGGATAATTTTCTAAAAGTATAAAAAGATATCGAATGATGAATTCATCCAAATTTTATATGAACAATGCTTTATATGCATCATTTGAGAGGTCTACCTATTTATATAAGATTTGCAAAAGTGCTGTCTTTCGGGACACTCTAATGAGTAGTCAAATACATATCTTCATGGTTTTTTAGATTTGAGCTGCATTTAAAAAATGGCAACCGAATTTATATCAAGATAATTTTTTCATGGTATGTTTAACTGATCACAGATTTTTATTGTTATCTCGATTTAAATATTAGTGATTACGCATCTTTATTGTTTTCTCGAATTGAGAGTTATTTAAAGTAAATTTTTAAATAGTTATATAAATATAAATTTTAAGGGGAGATAACAACGATTTTCTAGATAGATTTAAGTGTTATATTAGGA